AAGGGCACTGCCTCCAAATCCAAAACATTCTTCTTGTTATTGCATTAGTGACATACTGCCTACTAAATATAGCACTACCTAAAGACTTACCACTTTTTAAAATAACTTTCAAATGATCATTAAATCCTGTGGTGTTGGCTGTTAATTTTACTCTTGGAAAAAATAGGTAATAGCAGTAGAACCAGAATTAGTGAGCTGGACAAGACACAGGGACAGTTTGCAGTGGTTAGAACTTTGCATGCAATTAATTCCTTTCAAAATGCATATGCTCACAGAAATGATTGATTTTATTACTAGTGGTATTAAAAAAGGAAGTAGAGTAGGGAAAATTGTTTTTGAGAAGTCAATGACCATTGAGAGGAAAGGGAAATGGGGGGAGAAGCCTAGAGCCTACAAGAATTTATAAATGGTAACAGCGAGGCAAAATATTGCTTGTTAAAAATACAATCTGGAGAGAGGAGCAAAAACTTTAGGACTGACTCAGAGATGTGCAAGGACAATGTTAGACTACTCACCCAAGAATACCATCCAGTTTTGATCACAAGCTCCATTTGTGTTCCCAGTTGTGCACAAGACTAAACTTTACAGACATTCAACTGCCTCATTCGACTGCCCACAGGCAGCACTGAAAACGTCCATGCCAGTGTGCTGTACACTGTAGGACTGATGCTTAAAACCTGTTTTATGATATAACCTTTCCTATACAACCTCAATTATCACTAGAAAACCACTATTAAAAAAAAATCTAGGATTAATGTAATTTAAAGTATTTTGGTACCTTTTTAAAGATTTTAAGATTACAGTCTTTGCTTTCACCATTTCCCTAGTATATCTATTATGTGATTTGCAGTAGAAACACTGTATGATTAAGGCAGCTTAGTTTCAGTTGGTGCACTCTAGTTTCCCTTTTTTTCCCACCATGATGAAAATTTTTTAATCAAAGCAATTTCTGTACCTAAGGAGCGTGTATTTTATAGAAACTGTATTAAATGCACATTTAGTTGTTCTGTTTACAGCATATGCTTCCAATAATACAAGTTACTATGGCACTTCCTACCTTCCATTTTCAAGGTGAAAGGAATTTATTCCAATAAATTATGCCTTCTTCCTATTTCTGGTACTTACCATCTCAAAGTTGAAGTACCTCCTTTAAATCTTAATTGTAAAGGATTTTTCATTAAGTTTTGGGATCAAAGCTTTTTATTTTTAGCATTTTTAGTATCACCTTTTCAGCCGAGGAAGTATTTATACACTTCTGTTGTCTTCTCACTTGTGCTAATAACGCTGGGATGTTTGTTTTGGTTTTAAAAAAGCCACAACCTGTTCCCACAACAGCTGCTTTCATCACTAACAGGTAACCAGCAGTATCCATATTAAACAAATTTTAGAATATGCAAATACTGAGGAGTGTCTCTCTGTTAGACTGCACATTGCCAGTACACTGCAACGCCAGGGCTTCACATCCCATGGTGCTACAGCAAAGTCAAGAACCATTGTTGCCAAAATCCGGACTTTGGCAGACTTCGAGGCACAAGCAGCACCATGTAGATTCCAATAAATACCAAGCAGAATTCACAGGCATGTTAATTAACTTAAAGCTATAAATACTGTATCTAAGTAGTAGTATAAGCAATATTAATTATTGCCACTAATCTCTGCATATGTCAAGCAATACAAAATATAAAGGTGTCTTCACCCATATACAAAGGAAATACCTCTCTGAAGTACGGGAGGATGTTGGCCCACGTGCAACTGCTCCTGACAGATCACTGCCAGCACCCCATTCACGTAGCAGCACCAGTGAATTCCTTGCAGACAAAGCACTCCTGTATTTACAGGATGGAAGCAGATGAACTGCATCTGCTTTGGCAGCGTTGTGCCTTACTGACTCCAATTTTGACTTCTAAGAAGCAAACGGAAAGTTAGCAGGGAACAGCCATCAATACTGGGGACTGCATTAAGGCTACACTAAACTTTGTCTGAGAAAAGGATTTGTGGCAATTCAGTCAGTGCCTGGTGCAAGTGTTTGATGTAGCAATAGTAAACCATTATGACCTATAATTTATATTTTGTCCACTGGTTTTAAAAGGAACGTTATCTGTCTACATGAGGATCACACACTATGGAAGCTGCATCTGTGTGTAGTTACCGAAGGCTGTAACGGCAGTAAATCTCCAGCAGAGAAAAGAGACGGAGCCTCACAGATTCAGACGTCCACAATTTGAAGGCTGTTTCAGAACTTAATGGCACATACAATATTGCCATATTAATATGCCTGAGAAAATAACCAGGGGTAGAAGGGAAATGGAAACAAGAGTATGTTTCAGGTTGGAAACAAAGGCTCGTGTGCCCTGCTGTCTCTACTATCCGCTTCACTGATAACTTTATCCTCCCAGCTATCAAACCAGACAACCCAGATTTATGTCTTGTTTTGTTTTAGCTTATAATGGCCACCGTACAACAGGGCAATCGGCAGAGCATAAAGCACACCCACTTAATCTTTCTACCACAGCATATATTAAGCTTACATCTTATCAGACAATTCTGACAGTCCCTGAGAATCACAAGTCCCTATTTTCCCAGGCTCCACGCGAGCGTACGGCCCAGACAGAACATATTGAATATACAAACCTGCAGAGGAAGATTGTTTTAAGGTCTGGAACTCACAGCAGGAACCAAGCTAAGTTCAGTTCCACTTGGAAGCCATAAAAAGCATGGGTTTAAAAAAAGTGCAGCAGTATCTGGTGTTTGATATCTAACAGTATGCAACATGTTTATGACATGTATTAGGCTACAAAATCGGAGTTCATAGCCTGGGACAACAAAGCAGAGCTCGGCTCTGGCATATGTAGTGGGAAATAGAAAGGCATGTCTTGGAGTGTAATGGATATTGCTGCTCCCTCAAGAGCTTGAGCTGCATAGAGCAGGTGGTTCAATGAAAGACAACAGCACTTTGGAAAAAAATTAAAAATGCAATTAAAAGAGCAATTAAATAGCAGCTGGTTTAAATAAGAGTCAATTCAGATTGGGTTTTACTATAAGAACAACTCAATTCAGTTCTGCAGAATTATTTCTCAGAATTAAAAGGGTAGGAAGATTTGGGCAAAATATGTAGTAAGTAAAACTGTCTCAGTCACATAGCACTCGGTTAAAAAGGGTACCAAAATCATGAAATGATGATCTATCACTTTCAAACCAATTTAAAAGCAGTCTGATTCCAAATCAGACAATCAAGTCCCATGGCACTTTCTGTGGTCTTCAAACAGCTTTTCCCTAATTTTCAAAAAAACTTCCCTCCCCTTTGCATGAAGCAAAATAACCACAGAAGCAACAAGAGAAAATCCCCAAGTATATAATGGAAAGAGGGAAACATACCAACATATACAACAACATACCAAGCTTACATCTTAAAAAAAAAAGAAAAAAATAAAAAGAAGTTTTATATGTTAAATGAGATCAACAGAAATAAGTGTTAAAAAGGGTCATGGTTAATTTCAAAATATGCTTTAAAGGGTAGGACTGTCTCCAGGAAGAACAGGAGTTACTTGCCAAGCAGGAAATCATGTCAATACCAGCTATTCTTAATCATCTGTCTCATGCAGTGGAGAAAATGTAGTCATTTTACCAAACTTCTTACTTTCATACCTCAACATCTTCTCCTCCTCCCACGCCCCCCTGCCCAACACCCTTTCTCTGCAGCAAATGTACAGAGCCAAATTATGGATTCTGTGTTTGAAAAAGTTTGCTGGGTTTGGGGTTTTTTTCACATTTTTAACATGAAGTATAATTAGACAGAAAAGTTTTGTGCTATGTGTAACCCATGAGAGTCTAAATTAACTCGTCTATCCTGACTTAAATTTTGGGTTAATTTTCCAGGCTTGTGAGTTTGTATCTTATCGTCTAGACAGCAAAGATACAAAAGGAAACTGGTGTCCCATGCATAAAAGCCAATAATCCCATATAGAATATTTTCTGAGAAATGCATTTCCAAAATGCAACTAACTGCAACTTCAAACCATAGTACATCTGATCTAAAAAAATAATAATATATATATATATATATAAAAGAAAGCAAAATAATTCCAGAATAGCAACATGTTGATTTACCTAGAACAGGAAAAAGGGTTTTAAATGAGGAATTACACTTCCTGTATTAATTTAGGATTAGAAGACAGTTTGGCAAACATACTGAAAAAGGGACACTGCAACTGAACCAGACTTTGCCATCTTTCCTTTCCATGCAGCATCTTCCATGGGTCATTCTCCTCCCAGAGGAAAAGTAATCTGAGCTATCTCCATTGAATTCTGCAATGTGCTTCAGTGAGAAGCAAAATAAGGAACAGCTCTCAGGCTGCTCTTCACAATAACACAGCCTGAGACAAGAGCAACCCTTCTACTCCTCCATGTGGGAGTACACTGGAGGTTTCAGTTCTGCCAGTCAGTCAGTAACTGAAAAACCAAGGCTCTGTTAGATAAATGCTTTAAAAATTGGTTTAATTTCTTAAATTTTAGGTTATATAGGGCTGGTAAGGAAGCTTTTTAAAGATGCACACTGTGGCTGAAAAACTTCTGAAGTATTGTAAAAAATTCTCTTACATATTGGACTTATCAGTTATTATTATCAGTTAGCTTTAACTTTTAACTGAAAAAAAAATAAATCTTTCTCCGCTCACTTGTGTGGAATACAAGAAAGTAGAAAATTAAGCAAGACAAATTGTCTTGTTCTGCACAAGATATAGCTTAAACGCAAAAGGCTAAAATCTCATCCCTTAAGAATTTGAGCAGTGCAGCTGAAGGGCTACTTGTGCCCTATACAAAAGTGATAAAAAATGTAGTTTAATTTAAATTCAACTGTCTTTCCAAAACAGGTGTTATCATGGTGTCATCTAACATGAAACGTATAACAGAATGCATACAGAAGAATGCCATTTTGGCATATGCATATGTGTACATACTGTGCAAACCAAGATCAGTTATACCTGAAAAATAACCACACTTACCTGTTAATGTAACTTAAAGCAACATAGGTTGGCTGCTGAAGTTCTTGTTTCTCTAATACACGTGGGTCTGTATCTGGAATAAAAAAATACATACACTGAACTGAGTTTTCTATATTTACACTGAAACATATGGGACTGTGTACTGCAAAGTAACATAAACAAAGACAAAAGATATAAAATGGCTCAACCCAGTTCATCCATATAGAGTATGCTTAGCACAGCACAATCATTTGTTCATTCATTCATAAACACAGTATTGCATTACTTTACACAAGAATTTGAAACATCAACAGTGATGTAATTTCCAACTGTCACACAAGCTTTCACAATCCCCCTCATAAATATTAGTTTTCACTGCTTTCCATGATTTAGTGTTAAAAGGATCAAGCTTTCTTCTTTTTTAATGTAGCTATTTCTAAATATGGTTGACACATTTTGAGATGTTTCAAGAGTGATTAGATCTCTTAAGATGGGACTTGATACTTTTCTTCTGCATCTTTGAGTTTTGCTTTCTCCCTTCTCTACGGTTTATTTTCTGAAGCTCTCAATCAAAAGTCATACAAAAATGCACTTGAAGCAAAATGCTTGCCAAGCAGAGCGTTGCCCACCAAACGCCCTGAAGCAAACATAATCCAATTCCCTCGAGTGCATTCACTCAAATGAACGAATATGTTTTCAATCACTGTTTTCATTGTCCTTTTCAGTTAAGTTTTGCTTTTATCTAACAAAGAAGTACTCTTGGTTTAAATTTCTGAAACCAAAACCAAGGGAGTATGCCCATAGTTTATGCACTTTTCTTATGGAAAGAAAAAAAAAAAAGGATTATACTGAGGTTTCAAATACAGCCTTCCCCTACATTGTAGAAATGCACCTTCAGGGGCTGAGCATAAACAGTCTTCAAAAGCTCCCAATGGAAAACGTGCATCACGCCTGTGCCGATTACCACTACACAGTCATTAACTACATATTTTATGCATTACTCTAAAAACAATTCTGGGTGCAACTCCTGCATTTTAACTATAACGAACACAAACTGCTTTTACTAAATGGCTCCCCATAGCACTGCTGCTATCCATCTTCTAGTTCTGAGAAGCATCTACTTTGTGCTGGGGGAGGGGAGGAGAGGAACCTCAAGCAAAACCCATATTTTGGATTGTTCTTGCTTTGTCCTACAACTTCAAGCATCGTTCATGTTTAAAAGTTCATTATCTTGATAACCACTTTTTTTTTTTTTAACCTGATCAGTTGCTTCTGGTGGTTTTGGTGGTTTTTATGGATTTTGTTTTGTTTTTAAAACACAATACAATTATTTTGAAATCTGTCTCTGCTGCCCTGCCTTTTTAACTGAACTGAATGGGGACTGTGCTCGAGGTAGGTGCATTTGTCACACCACTGCCTGAAATAGATAATGTCTTCATTCAGTGAGCAGGGAATCCCTGGTCCCACCCCCTCGAAGATTCTAATCTTTCTTCCTACATCTGCACCTGCAAAACTCAGGCTCCAGGATTTCCTAACATGCCTTTATCGACATGTCCCTAAAGAGATAAATAACTTTCAGGAAGTTCAGAGAAGAGGGATAAAAGCAAAACTGCCAATCCAACCAGCAACCCCAAGCCTGTTATCCTTAAAAGGAGCAAATCTTGGTGGTGCCTGGGGAAATTCTGCAGTAATTACCAGCATACCACCCTCTGCTCTGTATTGAGCTAACCAAAGACAAGAAAGCATCAGCTATCTTCTGTGTTATCTTTATAATTCACTTCTCTGAGGCAAAATTAGGTTAATGCAACACACAGAGATTTTTTTTTACTTGCCTTTGTTTCTACAAAACCCACAGTCATTTAGCAGGCCAAGCATACAACTGCTGTCACGGTGAGCTCCGTTAGATTTACACCTTGGCAGTGCATGGCCTGCCATGAAACTGTCTCGATCCAGAATGTCTGCAGAGCATTAATCCCAGCCAGGACTATCTGAAAACCACCTCAACCCAAGTTTAGGCATCTGTGGTTAAATGACTACGTCTCTACTAATCCAGTTCTTAAATGGGATTAACCTCCATCTATAAACAACAGTTTCTTTGACTGAAGGAGACAACATCAGGGCTGGTTTACATCAGAATGCTGCATATATCCGTGGGAGAGGACAAGAGAAAGCTCTAATGAAGAGTCTACCACCTTTCCGCTGCTCACCAGTAGCTCACCCTAACACCAGCTGAAGATGAAAATGCAAAGACAAAACCCAAAAGCCCCATAACTTCTGTAGGAGCAGGTTATCAAAGCACAGAGAAATTTGCCTGCTGGCACCTGCCCAAAGCAGAGTCGTGTCTTTCAGCAGGTGCTGCCTGACACACGAGGGACACGTTGCACACAGTCTCTATTCAGCGTATCAGTCCTTTCCCCCTCCACAGAACAGGCTTCACAAGTATTTCAAGTCGATTGTGTTGTATATTTTATATCCCAATTCCACCAAAAAATAGTCCAGGAGGTGGTCAAGAAAATCTTGAATGAATTTAGCACTCAAAATGTTTGGTGCATTTTTATTCCTCTTGCAACCAGCTGCTGGGTTGCCGATCATGAGAACGTCGCATTCACTTCTGCACTGTAGGAGGAACTACGCATAACACCACCAGATATTATTTCTCTTCCCAGCTATAGAAACAGAAGACAAAAAGAAAGCATAGAAACTTGTGCTGAGGCCATGGCACAGCCCACAGAGGAGATCAGAAAGGAGCAGCCACCTGGACCGGGCACAGCCCTTCCCCAGGCAGAGAGGCACAAAGGCCGCACCAGCAGCCCCACTGAGACTGGCACAGCCTCATTCTCCAGGGCACACGGACACTTTGCTCACCGCTACCAGCTTTCTTCTTGCTGTCTTGGAATGCCACCAGTCCATTCCTTCCCACCTCTGTTCCTTCTTCTTCATCCTCTGCCCAAACTCAGCCAGCACCTTTCCTCTCTCCTGCCCCTTCCTAACCCTGGTTCTTGCTACTCATCCTGCCTCCCCCGTCCTTCTCTCCTGCCCTTGCTGCCCACTCCTCTCCCCTCAAAATGTCCCCACATTCGAACAAATTAAAAATCACATGGAGACATCTATAACCGCTTGTTCACTCTTGTACCACAGGACTAGACTGAACATATATACAGTTCTTTCCCTGTATTGCACTCTTCCCTGTCGCCCCTGACTCCCCACCCTTATTGTATCTTACATTTTAGACAGTCTTGTCTTTCTTGATGTTAGTTAGCACACTTTGAGCACAGGGTGAATTTACATCATTGTTAACAACTACAGAAAGACCACAACCATCCCAAGCTTGCTAAACAAAACAAAACAAAACTTAGAATAATTAGCTTCTTTTAAGATAGCAAACACAGCTGCATGGAGATTAAATAGTAGTATTCCCTGATGCTGAACCTTCAAGTCTGGACTTCCCAGTGCTCTGCTCTCTCACACCTAAACACATTCATACAGACACCAGCACCATTCTCTAACACAGGCTGCCCAAAGCCACAGCCTCCAAACATGTGTTAACCCCACTGACCAGGATTTTATCTATCAGCCAACGCTCAACTATATGAGTAGAGGATGAGGAACAGGGGAGGCAAAAATCTCTCGTCAATCTCACAAAATGGCCCTGTAATAACATAAAATGTTTATTCAATGTTTCTTCAAACCGGCATAGGCTGGTCAGTCAGCCAAAAGTAGCCTAAAGAGTTTCCAAACAGACACCTATAATGGATTAAACACTCACAGATGACAGAACTTTTTCTTGAAAAGTATTTAAGCAGTACAACCTAGGGCTGATCTGAGCTCCCTTTCTTATAAGAAAAATATCCAGACAGCACACACACCAGCACAACTACAGATTTTAAAGGGATTGGTTGATTAGCGTTACTTTAACTAGTTACCCTTCCTTCTTGAATTAACACAGCCTATCGAAGACTCACTACTTCATTAGTTTTGCTGTAACACTTTAAATCTGGTAGAACAAATTGCCACCCACTGTACATTAGCTGCCTTCATTACTTGTCTCGTCTCATAAGTGTTACATTCCACTAATTTCATTCCACAGTGGGAAGAGAGAAAGCACTATGTACTTTCTGTAATGCTCTCAGGTTTTTTAGCTATGTTCTCTGATTTTGCTATGGTGTTAAGATTTTGGAAACCCTCTTTTTTCGTTTTCGTTAACGACATGTTATAAAAATAAAATTTTCATTTCATATAAACTACCCCCGGGTTTTGTTCCAGGTCCCCCCATCTCATTATTAAAAGACTAAAGTGTGGATGCTAATGCTCACAAGAGAGTTACTCAACTAATCATCCATAGGATTAGACCCTTTCAATTTCTCACATCCACAACCTGTTTCATACCGGGCAACCAGACAAGCAGTATGAGTGTATAATTAAGACTAAGACCATAAATTGTACTTTGAACGCCATCTTTGAACTACCCAGAGGAAGTCAGGAATTTTCTGTGGAGCTTATTCTAACAAAACAAATCCCTGACTGCTGAACCAAGCTACGATCCCTAAATCACCTCACTCTACGCAGAAATAAGCTACAGCTTGAAAAGACTGCAAAATCCTAACCCGGTAAAGTATTTCAAAAAGAGCAAATATTAAAAAAGGCATAAGCATCCTGTGTAAGTACAGTCTTCGTCAATTATATAACTTAATTCTACATGAGTGTTTCTGCACAAAAATACATGCCACGTCTTTGTTACTATATAATGGAACAACAAGTTTTGCCCTAAAAGATACAAGAAAGTTATCGTAAGCAACTTCACATCAGAACTTCACTTTCATAAAGTTCCTGCATTTAAATCTCTGTGAAAAATCACTTTTCACCTTATAAAGGGCACACAGGAAAGCTCTAACAAATTTCAGTGGCATTATTTTACAACTGCAAGCTTCCCCCTTACAGGGATTAGGAAAGGTCACTACTGCTAGCAAAGTGGTAAAGATAGTCTCAGAAGAAAAAATAATGACTTAAAGGAGATAAAGTTTAAATTACTCCTCAACATCTTGAATATGAAGTAGCCAGTGCTGCTTTTATGCCAGTGTGCCATCACTTAACAGGCAGAAGCTGAGATCAAGATTGACAAGAGTCCATGTACCAAAAGACGGCCATAGGAATCCCTGCTCACATACTAATGAAGTGACTGTATTTCCAAGATTTTTTTGGTAGCTGTGTCCCTCCAAGAGATTTCACTGATTATGTAGATATTATACTGGGGGGGAGATGGGATTATGGGGGGAAGGGGTGTTCTCCATATCTTAAAAAGACTTAGGTTTGAAAAACATGTCTTCTATCAGCCATGCCATTACTTAACCCAAATAGTTGCAACAAAAGCACGAAGACAAACTCCCCTTGCCAGCCCAAAAGGGTTATTTGTTTCATTTCAAAAAGAGTAACAAAACACCTCAAATGTTATAAAAATAATGGCCCTGCAAAGGATTTTAAAGCACTAAACCTCATATTTACAAGGACCAAGGACTTGCATTATGATCTGTCTCCCAAGTAACTTGGAGATGTTTATGATCTCACCTTTTGGTGCAACATCGGTGCAAGATCACAGCGGAATGAACTGCCAGCCCAGAGGTTCCCCAGACTCACAACTGGCTTTGTCAGAACATCCGTACACACATTCCAATCACCCACCACCAGGTTCACAGAGTGCCTGTCTTGTGTTTCACTTGGCCTTGAAAGCTGGCTGATATAAGGCAGCTCAGCTAATTAATTAAAACCTACACTTCCCCTGAAACTAGCTCGCTTCACTAATGATGCCAAGGCTAACATTTCTGTTGGCCTCCTCAAAAGTCTGCAATTGTTCTTAACATGGATGTAGCTTAAAACGCCAGAAACAGATAAATTCAATGTTACTGGAAACTGTTCCCCATCCAAAACCTCCATTACAAGGAAGCCACTATGAATATCACAGTTTCAATTCCAAATGCAGTGTTATTCAGGTCTTCTTACAAATGTAAAGGATAAGATCACAGACAACTATTATTTTACAGATATTAACACGGTCCCCTAATTATGTCTTTAACAGAAAAATATTTTCCCTCATCTCCAAAAAGGAGATGATGCTCTACACTTCAAAGACAGAGCACTGGAGGATAAATGCCATGATTCTGCAAGAGTTTTAAACCTACTTGACTTCAAGAACACCTTAATATTTACACACACCTTAAGGTTCTTTCCAACATCAGTGTGTTAAATGCCACAGAGATGGACTTATCAAAATGTGTGAAACAGATTAGCTACCAAATTCTTTCACATTTAAACTACTGTGGACCTTTCCTAAAGCCTGCAAGCACAAAAAAGCATCAGTCTTAACAACTGCAAATTCCATACTACAGATGCAGGCAAGTGGTTAGCAAAAAGAAATATGAAACAGAAGATTTATTTGAATGAAGGCTGCCCCAGGAAAAAAAGTCAACAAGTATATATTGGGCATAGACATACAGGCAGCTGGAAGGCAGAGAAAACAGCATGTGCTGACTTAACACCCTGGTTTTGGACACACTAGCCTCTTCACAGAGCTGCCCCTCCCAGGGAAGCGAGGCAATCTTCATTAAAGTTCCAGAAGAAAATAAGAACTTGTAAAAACTGGCTCTTCATAGGAAATGCACACTGATCCCAAGGACACCAGTCCAGCATTTTACCTTCACTGAGTGTAATGACTACAGAGGCTCTAAGCAGCAGTTAGGACATCGCTACAAGAGGGACCATACAAAAATGGGGGTTACAGAAGTTCAAAAGCAACCTGCTGAAAATTAAAGCTCAAAAATCTCCAGTAACACCATAACCAACAGCACCCATTCACTGCTGCAGACCAGCACATGTGAAACTCCATTTTATAGAACAAACTCTGTGAGACACAAGAACCCAGAGCTTTGTCATACAAGAAAATGGTATCTTGTTGGGTGATAGGGTAGTATATGCTACTTCAGGTAACCTACACAGAAACAAATCTGTGCTTTGGTCTTACAGGAAACAGAAAAGTAGAACATTTTTTTACATAAACAAACAGAAGAGTAGAACGTTTTTATATAACACTATTAATGAGCAATCCTGTTTCATCTTTGCAAGCTGCCACTGTTTAATTCAGACTGTGAACTCTTAGAGGCAAAGGCTATCCCTTACCTCCCCCTTGCCCAGCCATATAGGTTTCTGATTACAGCTTCACATGTACTAATTTAATGCATAATTACTGAAAGGATTTCAGGTTAAAATGGTAGCTCAGCAACACAGCTAAGCAGATCATTTGACATTTTCAGGTTCCAATTTAAAAATCAAATAGCCAAGTAAACGTAAACACAAGGATTTGCAAATCTTCTGAAAAGTATTTTTCATTTAAAAAAAATAAAATTATGATGTAACTATATGTAAGAGAAACATAGTTCATATGTGAACAACAGAAAAGAGAAAGAATGCATGGAGTCCAACCATGGATCCTGAATCTTTAACGTGTTCTAATTTCTGCAATTAAGTTAATTATTGCACACTAGTAAGTGACCACAGTGCTCCTCAGTTGCTGAAAGCAACCTTTGGATCTGTCATGCTGTCTTCAAATAGGCAATTAAAGTGAAAAATGAGAGTGTGCATAACTTTCCCGTGCCATATATTATATATAAATAACACAACCCACAAATAAGAACAGGACAGAAGTTCTCAACCCAAACACTTGATCAACTTAGTCATGCCTTCATCTGTTTGTTTGAAAATATATTGTTTGCTACTTATTACAGACAATCTTAGGAAGAGTTTTCCCTGGCCAGAAATTAAAAGAACTTTCCATTCTCTGTCCCCAAAATAATTTGCATTAACCACGGCTGGACAGTATCAAACGTGCCAGGATAACGGTGAGGCAGTGGACAGACCAAAGCAATTGATCTGGTCCTTTGTTTCTCAGTGGAGCAATGTAGCTGACCAGAACTTGCCTAAGGTTGCTCTAAGAGTTGCTTTCTTGCTTTACACAAATTTACAGTACTGTAAACCAAGTGCAGAATGTGGGAAATTATTTATTTACAAGATAACAAAAAAAAAAAAAAAAAAAAGATTATATACTGTAAGCATCCTCAGTGGGAAGCTTGAAGGTCATATGCAGCCTGTGAGGATCAACATCACAGCTCCCTTCCTGTCCTTACAAGGTGCGTGAGCTCTTGAGCTCTCTGCAACCATCCTGCACCCGAAGCCCCTCTCTCTGGCACAGGAGCACAAGCAGCATCCTCTCTCAGCAGAGAAATTCAAGCTGTGGGGGTTTAATATTTTTCCTAGAACTTTTTTTTTTTTTTTTTTTTTTTTTTTTTTTTTTTTTTTTTTTTTTATTTAAAAAAAAAAAAAAAAAAAAAAAAAAAAAAAGATTATATACTGTAAGCATCCTCAGTGGGAAGCTTGAAGGTCATATGCAGCCTGTGAGGATCAACATCACAGCTCCCTTCCTGTCCTTACAAGGTGCGTGAGCTCTTGAGCTCTCTGCAACCATCCTGCACCCGAAGCCCCTCTCTCTGGCACAGGAGCACAAGCAGCATCCTCTCTCAGCAGAGAAATTCAAGCTGTGGCCTTTCCTGGTCCCATTAGAAGCTGGGCTGGTTACAGAGATAGAGCCCAGCCTACGTGCACCTCCCTCAGACCTCCGGCACAGCTAAACAGGCTACCACCTACAGCCGGTGGCTGCCTCTGGCAGAAGGGATGGCACCTGATCAATCAGTTTTTAAGCCAACTCCCATGTGCCCCCTTCCTCCAAAAACTCAACCAAAACTCCAGCAGCAACTACGGAGCAGGGAGGTGTGTAGGAGGGTATAACCCTAACTCATTAAGAGACTATTACTGTGCACTGTGATTGCAGACACCCTCATAATATCCTCAGGAGCTCGTATCTCAGAATATAAGAAGTAATGCTGTAAATCAGATACTTAATTTCTATTCAAACGGAATGTAATTGCTGGTAACTGGCTGCAGAGCTACAAATGTCAAAAAAGGCGTCTCGTGATCTTTCAGGTGCAGTGAACTGCAAGCACAATTCATGTGCCGTGATGCTTTTCCACTTATTATGTTAATTAGTTTTTATTTGAAACACAATTATTGCAGCAACCAAATCCAATAATTAATGGTTATTTTTAATAGGTAAAATATTCATTAATCAAATCAACAGGAGATCAGCAGAGTGCTGGAAAGGTCCTTCA